ATTTCCTGATTTTTTGCACTGACTGGAAGCCATGCCAATTAGCAGGTCTTAATATAAGAGAACATTTTGATCTTTGCAGTGAAACAACCATATGGTAGAAGTCAGCCTACTTAACGTTGGCTCCTTGATCTGAGCAGGGGGCATGAAGCATATGCACCAGCAGATACTGCTCTAGAAACAAGCGTGCAAGCTCCACCTACTTGTCGTGGCGCTACATTTGCTCATGTATAAACGGTGAGAAGCCCAAACAGCCATTTTCCAAACCAGAGAAAAATGCAGGGAAAGCACTTTGACAGGCTACCGATCCTTGAAAAGAGTTTGCACATACAAATTTACATACAAGGAAACCATGTTCTTTTAATTAGAAGGACGGGTTATGTGGGACATACGGCCAAGCAGGAAGTAGTAATCCTGAGAGCATTTGCACCATGTGGTATGCATCCTAATTAACCAGCTATCACTTCTCCCATGTGCTATAATTGTGATGCTCCGGGTGCTCCAGTCAACTGATAAGCCAAAGCCCATAATCCGTGAAGTGACTTAGAGAGGAAAGAGAGGGTGAAATTTGTATCATTTACCATTTAGAGATCAATCTTTAGTTGATTAGACTTCATACTTTTACTTAGTATCTCATATCCATTATTTGCGTGCAACAATACACGGATAATAACAGTGTGAACTGAAATATAATAAGCATCTGTCATTTTGACTGCTGTTATTATATCAGCCATTTTAACATCTTTTTACCATAAAGCCCACAGTGCACCGCACTACATGCAATAGAACAATCAACCTTTTCTTCTGTAGCAACTAAGGAAAGATAGTCAAACTCAGTGTCAGGACTTAATGAATGTCACAGCAGTATATCTTTATTGTAAAGAATACAAAGGGAACATTTTATTGTGGTGAAGAAGTTGCTGGAGAAGCAAAGTGCTGCATTACAGAAACACTTCAGGGGACTGCATCTTCAGCAGCGGTTCAAAGATAAAGCCTGCTGTTTTGTTCCAAAGACAAAGTGTAGCAGAAACTGGAGAGCCATAATCTACAAAGACGGCTTACTTCAGTTTGAAATAAGCAAACTCTTCTGAACTGAGAGCAATCAAAGGACATTTTCACACCATGCTTGAACATTCATTTTAGTTTTCGTCTGGTTTACAAGATTTCTGAGAACCAAAAGTTCAACTTTAATGACATTATTTTCCTTCGGAAGGGTTGATCAGTGGAACCTTTTACCAATTGCAGAGAATTGTTATTCACCCAAATTCATAAGTTATAAATGCACAATTTCAAATCAGTTGAACTAAAAATAATGTGGCACATTTGGATTTAGAAGGAAAAAAAATAACAAATGACATTACAAACGATTCACAGGTTCTCTGAAATAACTTCTTGCTGGTATTATGTTTACCATTATGGCTCTCTTTAAAATAACTTTGTGGCATTGGACAGCCTAATAGTTATGTAAGCATTGCATTTGTTTCAGGAAATATTTCTAAGATTTGTTTTAATTTGGGAAACTTTACATTAGTGGACAGAAAGAAAATCATGTTGTTAGAGCTGTTTAACGTGTTATTTTTTTTTTTTTCAGATAAATGCATCATTGAAAGGTTCATTGATTTTATTCAACAATTTCAAAACGTGAAACAAGTAACTATTATTTCTTACACACAGTAAGTTTCAAGTATATGCAATAAATCTATTAATACATATTTTATATCACAATTGTACAATATCGAATAACTATTAAATATCTAGGCATCAGTGCATAAGCATTGTTTTCAGTATTAAGACTGTATTGTTTCACAATCTGGTATTATAGCTACTTAAATTGAATGCATACAATATTTTAACCATATAATACACTAGACACTACGGTTCATTCTCTAGGTTCAGTGATTTTATAGTTATCCACATGCAGATGGGCTCATCCGTGTTCAGAAATATTCCTGAACACATCAGCAGTGAGTGGTTGTCACAGCTGTTCATGGACTGTGAATGAGCCCCGCTGGTCTGTTTCTGTAGGTTTGATTTGAATTTACCAGACAATTTCTCCTCGAGGTCCAATATCCAGGACGCAGCGTGAACAAGCATTGCAGTTCTGACCTGGCTTTACAGCAAATCTCAACACATGGACATGCAAGAGTATCGCCACAGTCGAGGCAAATTATAGCTCTTGGAGGCTGTGACATGGAAAAATTGCTTGACAAATTGTTCCAGGGTCACCCCAAAGAAATGAGATGAATGAGACCCTGTGTAGATTTCCAGCTGAACTGAGGCAGAGGCATATATATATCCTTCTATTTCTGGCCCTCTTATCTTTTTTTGTTTCAGTGCTTGACAGTAATTGTCACTTTCATTGTTACTTTGAGTAGATTTCCATGTAAAAGAACAGGGAAGTCACAGCTAATTAGCTGTTAGCTAGAATTGCTGAGAGAATAATGGTACTTTGCAGTATTACAGAATCTAAAGATATCCATCCTGAGGTGTAATATATATTTGCATCAGGGCAACATCAAATGAAACCTTGATCAGAAATAATGACTTCTAATGGAGCTATGCATGATACTGTGAGGCTGTCAAAGCTATTGTGTATCTTTCTAAAGTGATTATAATACATGCATTAAAGCATTTCTGACACACCATTTTGAAAGTTTCTTATTTTTCAAAACATCGTGGGAATCACTAGCAAGGTAAAAGCCAGCTTCTTGTTCTATGTTTTTCTTCACACAGAGGGTCTGAACCCTTGGCTACTGAAAAACAATTAATGTTCCTCAATCCTTGGAACCTGTGAAGTTTTAAATGTTACCCAAACAGTAACGCTATGAAGTTTACCAGAAATTGCCTGAATTGCAAACAACCATTCCCCACTGTGAAGAGAAGTGCCGAGCCAAACTGTTAATATTACTTCATTATTTGGAAGTGTCGCCATCACCAAACACCTTTTCCGTTGATTATTGTAATCTCCAGTTCAGGAACACTCCTCTGTCGAGCACACTGTGAGCTCTGAAAAAAATATTTCTACATATGTCGCAGCAGGCAGAGAAAGTTGGTCCCTGATTCAATATTTAGTTACTGTGCTTATTGTTAAATCTTGTTTTAACTGGATTTTTGCGAACCCAGTTCTGTCTATTTTACCCTAGACACAATAGGAAGAGCTGGTCCACGCAGATCTGTGATAGAACCACACTGGCCTATCGGTGGACATTTAGAGAATTACATTCTAGGTCTTTAAATTATTACATGGTGAATGACATCAATGTATTAAAACAAATCGAATCAGTATGACAAGATTCTTGGAAGTGTACCAGATTTTGCATGTTTTTTCCCTACCCCCTGTACAGTGATTCCTCAATATCCTCACAGAGTGCCTACACTGAGTATTCACAGCTAGCTAAACTCTTCTCCATCCCATATATCTCCAACAAGCAAATAGCTGTTGTATTTGGCAGATTTAATCAGAAGAAGTGTGAAACTAAAAACAGACATGCTAAAATACAATTACAATTACGAAACACACACAAGAAAAATGTCAAATCAGCTTTCACCATATGTGCACAGTAAGCAGGTACCAAAAGAAAAACAGGTACACCTCATGGCCTTTTAAGAAAATGATTTGTATTTGTCGAAAACCCACTAAACAAGCAAATATTTTATGCTAATGAATAATATAAAACTTACTGGCTTGGATAGTAATGCTGCTCTACTACACAATACCTTCGCTCAGCAGAGCATATTAGGCACTTCCTGTTTCTACTCTCTTCTTCCATGAAACTAAAGGGTAAGACAGCTAACAGACTAGTAATACTGAAATCAACCACTAGATGCTACTAAAAACACAAAAAAATTAACTAACTTTTCCAACAATCCCCAAAACTTTGGTGTCCCACATTAGAATTTAATGAGTTACTAAAACACAACTATGTTGTCTAGTAATTGTTGATGTAGCGGACACATTTACACTTTACTATTAAGATTGTACTTGCTGTGCGTTATGCACTGACATTATTCTTTGTCGCTCTATGGCTTGAAAGTAGAGTAGTTCTCCATAGTTTCTCAAACTGTGTTATGTTTTTACATAAATATGAGAGTATACTTTTATGCTTTAAGCTTCCTTTTGAAATAATAAACATATTGTAATTGTTCTTATTTGAGTGCAAAGGGGGGATGACAAATAAACTGAATATTACTGAAAAATTTAGGTTTCTGTTATAATGCCACATCAAATTTCACAGTAAATGTTGTTCATGAAAAGTTCCACCCTGAGATCTGGTTTCAAAAAGTACAAAGTGTCTCTGTCTGTCTAAGAACCAGCTGGCAGTGGCAGAACCCACAGACAGAAAAGAATGACAATGTGGAGAAAGCAGAAACTTGAGACTTGATAAGATCTAAATTACATTGGGCTGTTAAAATATGTCGTTTCCCATGACCTAAGTGCTATTCATGCAACTAAGTATCTTTGCTCTGATCAAATTAGCACTTTTGTTAATAATTGTTTCTTACAAATAAAAAAGAAACTTATTATATATACGTATCTATTAGGTTGCTTGCGAAAACCATGTTGTCAATTAATTTAACCATAATTTATGGTGACTATTGTTATTGCAAATGATTTAGCTGCCCATGTAGAAATGGTTTTATTTGCATCTATTGATAAGATGAGAAGCACCCTAAATGTCCTGTAAATATAGAATAAACATAATAAACATTCAGCATTATTTAAGAAAAATGAATTAATTGAAAATATCCTTCCTGTAACTACAGGAATTGTTCAGATTAGATCAGGATTAAACCTGTCAGCATTCAGTAGGTCAGAGATTCCCAAAGTGTGGGGCGCACCCCCTACGGGGGGGCATGTCGTTGAAGTGGGGGCGCGGGAAGCCGTCCGGATGAAAAAAAAAACAAAACATGAACACTGTATGCGCTGGGTTTTTACCTTAGAATGGTCAACTCTCTGTTATTCCTATGTCAATTTGATACAGTAGAGGCTTCCACACTTTTCACAGTTTTTCCCTCCAAACTAACCGACTGAGTTGAGTAAAGCTGTTGGATGCAGGTAATGTTAGCTAAAAGATGACTAGCTAATATCAATACAGAACCTTAAGCTTAACAAGTACCTTGTAGGCTACCGATGTTGGTGTCTATTTTCAGCTACGTACATTCATTTTGCCCCCAAAAAAGTCGATGCCCACCCCCCACCCCCCACACGCGT